CTGGCACAGAGCCAGAAGAGCTGGGCACCTGCCCTCCACAGAGCTCCTGTAAAAGGAGTGGGCCAGGCCCGCTGAGCCCCGGGCACAGGGATGCCTGCCTGCCTGCACAACCCCGCCCCTGGACCTGGCCGCACAGGGAGCCAAACACAGGTGCTAGTGCCAGTCCCAGTCCTGGCAGCTCTAGTTTGTCCGTACACAGGCCCCGACTCAGGAGGAGTTTGGGTGTGTGTATGGAGGGGGCAGGTGCTTTATTTGTAAACATGGACCTAAGGGTGCGGATGCACGTGAGCATGCTAACTTGAGGGACCAGGAGAGGTGCTTTTGCCTTGCAAAGTAGCACCTAGTTTCTCCAGTGGTAAAATGTGACCAGTCCCCTTCCTCCGGCTTGTGGGACTCTATGGCTATGTCCAGGGCTCAACCATCACGGTGAAAATCACTCGCCAGCCCCGCACTGCGCATACGCAAACCACCGGTGAATGGGGTGACCAGCTGAAATCTATTCCCACAGGCACATAGATAAGCGGATTTCTCGAGCCCTGGCTATGTCTACATTGGAGCGTTGTTGTGCAAGAACTCTTGCGCAAGAAAACGTCCACACTGTCATGTGTTTTTGCACAAGAGCATCCATGGCAGTGTGGACGCTTTCTTGCGCAAGAAAGCTCTGATGGCCATTTTAGCGATAGGGCTTTCTTGTGCAAGAAACCCCTGCCGCGTGTCCACACTGCCCTCTTGCGCAAGAGGGTTTACACTTGTTAGAAAAGAGCGTAGCTGTTGCGCAAGACGCCCTCTCTTCCAACGCCGTACAGTAAATCTCTTGCGCAAAAGCAGGCGGGCAGTGTGGACGCTCTGCGGGTTCTTACATAAAAACAGCCGTTTTTGCGCAAGAACCTGTCAGTGTAGACATAGCCCAAATGATTTGGCAAAGGTCCCTCAGCCAGTCATACAGAGTCTAGGATTCCCAAGTCCCTAGGTATGGGTACATTTAACATTGTAATTAAAAACCTCCCACTGGCCTGTGCCAGCAGACACTGGACTTGGGCTAATGGGCTGGTCCATTGCACTGTAGCCCTTTTAGGCTCACTAGGCCCATGCTGCAGCCCAGGCTCTAAGCCCCAAAGTCTGTCCCACAGGTTAACAGCTGCTTAGCTCAAACCCCAGGAGCTGGCATAAGCCCAGCCAGGGGTGTATGAGCAGTCTAGACAAAGCTCCAGTTTCCTCTTTCACAACATTCACACTACACAACACTTCGAGCACCTACAACATGTGTACACTGAGATTTCAAACTGTGAGTGATGTTGTTTAGTAATAAGGATTTAGCCCAGGTTTCAGTTGCAAACAGTAACAGGGTCATTATTAGAAATCAGAAGGAAAGTCCATAGAAATAACTGAGGTAGCTGTCCATATTGCCCAAAGCAACTGTTCTAAATTGACACATTATCTATGATTTCTGGAGGCTGGCCTGTCTGGCACAAAATCTATATAAGCAAATACAAGATGAGTGTTTTAGCCTGCAACAGGGAAACTGACACAGATCCCACATGCTACTGACCTGTTTCAGTTGATCAACAAGCAGTGAGTAAGTCTTGTTTGCTGACTACCATACTGGATACAAAGGGACACTGACATTCAGGCTTCTACTATGACTAAGGCCTTGTCACAATGGCATGTTTTGTTGCTAAATCCTGTCTTTTGGCAACAAGTACAGTGAGAGGTGGAGCAATCTCCCATTTACCTCAGGGGGGAGAGAGGATGTTCTGTCCTTCTGAAAATCAGGCCAAATAGCTCAGAGTATTCCTCTTTTCTATGCACCTCTGCAAAGGAAGTTTCTCTCTTCTTTTACTACACTGAAGCTGAAAAGAGAAAATCGTTGGTATCTGGGCATGGAAGAATTTTGTGTACTCTGCTAGTTCTTTAATAAATAATGCTTGTATATTACATTTTTCAAAGCAATCACTCCTTCTAACATGTCTGTAAAGTATTATTATCTATCTTTTACAGATGAGCAAACTAAACACCTTGGCTGTGTCTAGACTGGCAAGTTTTTCCGCAAAATCAGATGATTTTGTGGAAAAACTTGCCAGCTGTCTACACCGGCCGCTTGAATTTCCGGAAAAGCACTGACGATCTCATGTAAGATCCGGAAATACTATGCTGCTCCTGTTAGGCAAAAGTCTTTTTCCGAAAGACTTTTGAGCAAAAGGGCCAGTATAAACAGCACAGTAGTGTTTTCCGCAAAAAAGTCCCGATCACGAAAATGGCGATCGGGGATTTTTTGCGGAAAACCGCAACTAGATTGGCCATGGATGCTTTTCCACAAAAAGTGCTTTTGCGGAAAAGCATCCTGCCAATCTAGACGTGCTTTTCTGAAAATGCTTTTAACGGAAAACTTTTCTGTTAAAAGCATTTTCGGAAAATCATGCCAGTGTAGACGTAGCCATAGAGAAGTGATCTTAAAGTTAAAAGCATTTAGCATTACCCTATTTCCATTGACACAAATAATACAAATATTTGAAAGAATGAAGTGATATCTTAACTGCTCCCATTAATTTACTTTTTCTTTATTGACAGACTGGGAACAGTTAGATGAACTTTCCACCTCTCTGACCTTGTTCCCTGGAATGCTAGGGCTTCATGTAAAATAGAACGTGTGAGCATTACAAGGGAAGACCAAACAAAAATCTCTCTACATTGTACTAAGCCTTTAGTTGGATTCAATCTGATGACATCTAAATGTACTGTTCTGCACTACTGGCTCCTTTTCATATGCGAAGCTTAATCCTGGTTATCCAACTATCATTTCCAGCACCCACCTGTTATGGTAAATGCAAGTAAGTCACATGCACGTAAACAGTTGATACTCTATACATTCTGTCAATAATTGGGATTGAGGCTTTTGTCTGGATCTGAAAACTTCCCATTGTTTTATTGCCCAGTTCATTGATTAAACTTTCTAGCTTCCACTAAACACCATAATGAATAGGAAATGAAGCATTCAGATAGACTAGCTTCTCAGGAACTAAACACCATAATGAATAGGAAATGAAGCATTCAGATAGTCCTGAGAAGCTAGTCTATCAACTCATTGGGGAGATAATTCAGGGAAATTCATACCTTTAATCTATAACTGAAAATTAAGCTCCTGGAATTAAACTACAAAAATAAGGTTGCTGAATAATAAATAAAAATGTGCCATTAAAGTCTGTATTTATAAACAGCCCCTTTCCAAGCCATCATTGCTAAGGTATAGGTGGAGGATTGGGTGTCAAAGGGTGTGTCTACACGGCAGGGCTTAACTTGAAATAAGCTTCGCAAATTGAGCTACGTTAATTGCATCGCTTAGGGTATGTCTACATTACCCTCCTAGTTCGAACTAGGAGGGTAATGTAGACATACCCTAAGCGATGCAATTAACGTAGCTCAATTTGCGAAGCTTATTTCAAGTTAAGCCCTGCCGTGAGAAAAAAGGTAGTGTAATAGAATTCTATATTAATATTACTTTACCGCCTTTCTACCATGCTACGCTTGAAGTTTAATAAAGACAAATGGCAAAAGACCGCCTTGGCTTAACCACGAGATCTTGCATGATCTAAAAATAAAAAGGAGTCATATAAAAAATGGAAAGTAGGACAAATTACAAAGGATAAATACAGGCAAACAACACAGGAATGCAGGGCAAGATCAGAAAGGCAAAGGCACAAAATGAGCTTAAACTAGCTACGGGAATAAAGGAAAACAAGGGGTATGTCTACACTACCCCGCTAGTTCGAACTAGCGGGGTAGTGTAGACATACCCTTATTTGGAAATAGCTTATTGGGAGTGTCTACACAGCACTTATTTCGATATAGAGCTTGCTTCCTCCAACTTCCCTTATTCCTTGTACAATGAGGCTTACAGGAGTTGGAGTAAGAAGTCCTCCAGCTTGACAGTATTTTGAAATTATTTCAAAATAACTTCCTGCTGTGTAGATGCGGACTAAATTACACTAGTTATTCTGAAATAATGTTGCTGTGTGGACGTACCCAGAAAGATTACTATGACTGCATGTGAGAACTCTGTTTCAACGGCTTCTCCCTCAGAGATAGCCAAGGCATCCTGAAGATAACCTTCCTACAGCTCTTCTCAGCCCTTGTATTGATGCAAAGTTTTCTGGTGCTAGCTCTTTGTTGCTGTTTATCATCCACTTATGACCACTTGAGCTCACGTAGTTGCTCTAAAGCAGTGTCTCCCATGGATGAGGGAATAGCCTGTAAAGGGGAACTTATGTCAACTTCAGTAAGTGTTCAGGCAATATTGTTCCAAAAGAGAATGAGCTTGTCTTCAAAACCAACTAAGTTACACAATTGATAAACACTTCATTGATACCCAGTACCCATAAAAGGCCATTGTAACATTATCTTAACTCAGGTTAAAGCAGGAACATGCCTGAGAGTCTGGGCATGCCCTGATTTGTGGCCGAAGAGTACCATCTGCTGCACCTAAACCAGCCTGATAGTATTCAGCGGCTGGATTGAATACAGGAGCCTGTGTCCTGGGTCTACCACCATGTCCTCAGACTGAGAACATTTCTCTAAAGTATTTTGGTGGGGGCTAGCAGTAGTGACAAAAGTTTAAGGTTTGGCCAGGGTTTTTGTGAACTTCCTGGTGTGTAGTGATCCTTTTTGTAATTTAGTGCAAGACAATGGAACCCATAGAAAAGTGGCTACTTCCCAAGCCTAAGCTTCATTTGTTTGTCATCTTCCTTATGCCCTCAGCTGAATTTCCTGCAATAAGTCTGTGCTGCCCCAAATACCTTTCAATACTGTGTGAGCTGACTTCCCTTTTGCACAGGGAGAATAGATACATGTTTATCTGTTTCTATAAATCTTGACTTCAGTGATTGGCTTAAAAAGACCCAAAAGGAGAGGGACTTGCTGCTCTGTCCTCAGCAGGGGAGCTGCTGCTGTCACTGAGGGGGAAGTGTCCCTCCCCTAGCTAACCAGCTCTGTGCGTGGAGCCCTGAGTTAGGGCTCATTAAGAAGCTGTGGGCTTGTGCTGCCATGCAGCTTAGAGGGAACCTTGCCTGCTTACTACCACTGACAGGGCCGTCCATACTAGTGATGGTGCCCTGCATAGTCTAACAGTGGCGTCCCTGCCACCGTAGGCAAGCAGCCTTTCTGGAGGAGGGGTGGGGTGTGGGACCAGAAACTGTGGGGACTAGAGTTGGGGTCCCCTACTTCCTGGACTGGATGCTATTTGCTGCAGTGGCATCCAGTTCAAAAGAGTTGGCAGCCCTGGGAGGGAAGCTCACCTGCAGCCTCAGAGGAGCAAGTGGGAGGCACAGGTGATGAGTGGCATGCGTGCGGGCCAGAAGACTCAGGAGGAACAGGGGAGATCCATGCAGCTGTCTCCTAAGTCCTGCGGCCCATGCTCACACCACTCTCCATCACTTTTGGGGTGGGGGAGGGCTTGGTGTGGCCTGGGGGAGTTGACCAGGGGATGGAGTTGGGAGCAGCTAAGCCAGCAGTGAGTCCCTGGGGGGCAGAGAGGAAGACAGCTGGGGAATGGGGCTGGGGGAGCTACCCGAGCCATCTCTGAGCCCAAGGTGGGGGCCAGTGGAGGGAGGAGTATGGAGCCCATACACAACACCCAGATGCATAGGGCACCATTCAATTTGAGGCAATTTGATGCCCCAAATTTTGTGGTGCCTTGTTATACCAAATAAAAGCAAGCAGGATCTTATGAGGGGGATAAGGCAAAAAGCCACATTTATTATAAAGATAATAATAACAAAATAAAGAAAAGATAGAAGCAAACAACATTGTTTAACTACTTAACCCTTATGCATATAAACATTCATTCATCCATTCATTCAGGTTCTGTGTATTGTTATAGTTACCAGCCTGGAAGTTGCTTGTGACAGAATACTGGCCAGGTATTCTGTACACAAGTGATGGTAGTGGGGAGCGAAGTCCTGATCTGATGCACATCTGAAGCTCCTGGTGGGCTGGCAGCAGAACCTTGGACTCTGATTCATAGTTTTTTAGTCTAGTTCTTATAGGAATTTCTTCCTATGCCAGTCTATGGAAATTGCTGCATCATGCTGATGTCTCCAGGGTGGCTGCCAGGTGCTCATCAGTGATCTCATCGGGTGGACCTCCAGTACTTGGTTTTCTCCACTTGACACCTTTTGGTTGCACTGGCACCTGACGCCTTCTTCAGCCCTTTGTTGCTGTATTCTCAGGCTGGCACCTCTCAGAACCATTCATTCATTGTCCAAGCACTCTCTCTCTCTTACATACATTCCCTAATTAATGTTTCCCATACAGTATTTTGTATAATAATAAAAGTTGTAGTTACAAAAGTTTCTGGGTGGTATTGCTTAAAACATTCTCTGAGTGCTAAGTCAAGTTACAATGTTTTAAAGAGAACAGGCATCAATTATGTAACAATGCCCTTAGTCAATTACAGGGCTTGGCTCCCATAGCAGAGTTAGTGGCTTGACAATGCATTGTTACAATGGATCTCTGCAATGTCAATTTCAAGCAGCCCCTTGCACAAGCTTGAGCATGCCCTGGGACACAGAGGGGGGGCTGTTTCTGGCTACATAGGATTATATTCTTAACAGTTCCAAGTTACATGACATAATACATTATATTCTAAAGGGGCAATAATAATAATAAATCTAAACATTTAACAATCTTAACAAATAATAATAATAATAAGAAGAAGAAGAATTAATAATAAATCTAAACACTTTAAGTTGTGGGGAACAAATTATGGGGAGTCACTTCCACTTGGGGGAATCACATTTTTAATACATTGATATGTTATCCCTACATACTTACATGGCAGCGTGTTTTGCATATGGATAGAAATGGCCCTGAGCACTGATGCCGCCTACACCTTTCTCCATCAAGTTTAGAAGTTGTCTTGTCCTCTTTGCTCACACTTGGAACAAGGTCACCACAGACAGTTGGATTTGGATATTACCCATCAGGGGTACTCCATGGAGTTTATTTCCTTCTCCCTCCCCACACAAACCACCTCCCTTATTCCCCTCCAGGGAACACTCTCACCAAGTGATTCTTCAACACAAAGCGGACTCCCTCTCAAGCCATAGGATGACTGAACAATCCCATCTCAAGAAATATGAGAGTGGGAGGGGGAGATAGAACCCTCTTCTGTGGTATTAATACCCCAAAATAGGGAGGATGGAGATCCATCATGGACCTTTGAAACTCAACATCTGTATTCAAAAGCTGAATTTCAGGATGATCACATAGGCATCAATGATCTCCTCACTTCAGGAGAGCATGTGGTTCATGGCTCTCAGCTTGAAGGATGAATATCTCCACATAGACATTTGCCTGTCTCACAGGAAATTCCTATGTACATGGATCCTGTTGCACAAGATCACTACCAGCTTTGCATCCTCCCTTTTGGGCTCGCTATAGCACTAACTATATCCACATAAGTGTTTGCTCTAGTACCTGACCAGATACGATGCCAGGGCTCCTTGTCGGGGCCAGTCTCATCAGGAAGTCACATCTATTACAGAATTTCCTCAATGCCTTCTTACTGCTTTAGGGGGGTTGCATAAATGAAATCCAAATTATCACCTACAAGGCAATAAACTTTATAGGAAAATGGAGGCACCAGTAGTTCTAGCTCCTTCATTTTGTTACCCAGACTCCTTGCCTTGGTGTATAAATATCTTTGTACCCAGGCTGGCAAGGAATGTAGGCAAAGCTAAGCAGAAACAACAGTCATTCTACTGCCAGTATCTCCTACTTGACTGTTAGAAACAGAGGAAAGGTAGCTTCACTGGTACTGGCGTTGTCTCCACTGCTAGGTTCTCTCTCTTGATTTTTCTTCCAGTTAGAATCAGGAGTGGAGATTATACAGTATAAGCAACTCCCAACTGTTGCCTCTTCCCTCCAAAGTTCCTAGTTTAAAGCTCTTTTAATCAGTTCTGCCAATCTTCATCTCAGAAGTCTATTTCCCACCATACTCGAGTGAAGCCTGTCCCATGAAAACAGTCCTCTGTAAATACTTACCAATACAGGCAGTCCCTGAGTTACGTGGATCCGACTTATGTCGGATCCATACTTATGAACGGGGCTTTTCTCGCCCCGGAGGATGCGGACGGCGGGACCACCCAGACGCGCCACGGTCCCGCCGCCCGCATCCTCTGGGGCGAGAAAAGCCCCGTTCGTAAGTACGGATCCAACATCAGTCAGATCCGCGTAACTCGGGGACTGCCTGTACTGTTAATCATGCTTATATGATGCAAGGTCAGTGGCTAATATAATTAAGGCTGTGAGTGATTTACTCATGCATGCGTCATCCAGTTTTGCATGGATTAATCTGCAGATCTATATTACTAGTTCAGAAGTTGGAGTCATTTGACCTAGGATATCCGTGAAATTGTCCCAGGTAGTGTCTTGGGTCTACAGCTGTTGCTGGGCATACACTAAACCTCATTTTTTGGTGAGGATTGGAGGTGGCAGATGGATGTAATATTACATCCTTGTTCAGGACAAGATATTTCAATGGAATGCCACTGAATGAATGTGGCCCAAGAAGCAGGGAGGCAGTTGAGAAGAGGAAATCAAATTATAGGTGGGAAGGAGCAAACTGGAGGGGAAAAAAAAGGCCATTGCATATTATGCGACAAAAATAATTAAATGGATTTCCACTACAAATCTCTTCCCAAAGTAAGTTTGGAAATCACTTTGTCGGGTGGTTGTTAGTTTAAAAAAAAATCTTCATCTGTTTTCATTTCTGAAGGACAATTCTTAAAGACAGCAGATTTTTCCGCTACTTGCACACCGCTGTGATAATGAGCGGAACCATGCTGGTATTTGGAGGAAATACACACAATGACACCTCGATGAGCCATGGTGCTAAGTGCTTCTCTTCAGACTTTATGGCATATGATATTGGTAAGTTCCCACATCCAAACTTTTTCCTGGAGATGCAAAGACAAAAATGCCTCTCGGGCTTCCTGTAGTCAGCCGCTGGTCAGTTTCAGCAGCGGCTGAATCTGGACGCCAGTTCCGACTTAATTACAAATTCAACTTAAGTACAAACCTACAGTTCCTATCTTGTACGTAACCCAGGGACTGCCTGTAGTCAGACATCCCACAACCCTCTTTATAGCACCACTGCCTGAGCCATCTATTGATCATCATAATCTTGTGTTGCCTTCTTTCTCCTACTATAAGGACAGACAGAATTCCACTAAAGATCACCTAAGCCTCCAGGATTTCCTTAAGCATCTTCCCCAGCCTGGCATAATCTCCCTTGATGCATTCCATTGAGAATTTAGCTGTGTCATTTGTTCCCACATGAAGGAGTTGATTCTTTGCTGCTCCTCTTCAGTCTCAGTCCACATCCCATATCTTAGCTTCCGTCAGGCAGCATGTTTTTCTGTGCTGCCTCTGGCGACAGGCCTGTTTGTTCTTAATAGGAAGTTCAGTGCAGTTCTCCAGATTTCCTCCTGTGCTTTCTAACTGCAAGTCCTATAGTTCTCTTTTGCGGTTTCCGGACGTCATTCTGTATCCTCTTGGGGATCCAAACTCTCCCCACTTGCTCAAAAAAAACCTTTTGTCATTCACGAGTGCTTAAGCCTCCCCCCTCAGTTTTGCTGAGTCAAGTGCACATGTGAATGCTGCATTGTTGGCAGGCATGCTCCCCTGCTAACAAAGCAAAACCCGCTTGGTGGTGGTGGAAGTACTTTGTCTGCAAAAGTGCCACAAAAAGCATTCACAGGCGATGGCTTTTAGGACAGGGCTGTGTTGACACAGCCTTATTGCTAAAAGCTGCGTAGTGCGGATATATCCTAAGACTCTTCGCCTCCTCTTATAAGACTAAACATTCTTTTCTTCTTCCTTGCCCTTCCACCTTCTGTGACTGCCTGCCGTGGCCAGTCATTTCCAACTCAGCAAACCTGTTCTTGAACGCTATTGCTACTTCTTTAGCGCATCTTTTCCTCTACCCAGTTCTCAGAGTCACATGCTTCCTCTGGCTATTTTCCACACCCAGCAGTCTCTGTGTATAGTTCTTTAGCTTACATCTTCAAATCTTGACTTGTCCTTTTTTACCTTCCCTCCATCACCTGTTCAAATTCTCTTCGAAACTCTACTACCACCTGCTTTTCCAAACCTAGAAACGTCTCTTCCATCCGCTCTGTCAGGCAGCATTTCAAAGGTTTTTTTCAAGTACCCACGCCAAGATAATGTACTTCCCACAGTTTCTGCAGCCAGTTGTCTTCACTGTCTCCTCCACTCTTTGGATCACTGCCACTGCTGGGATCCTGAGGTAAGTGTATTTCGGTGGATGTTTCTTTTAAATCACTCAGCTGTGAAACAGCTATCAATGTTAACATTTAAATGGTCATCTATAGGTTTCAGAGTCAAAACTCCAGTGAGCTGTTCACAGCTCTCAACGCTAGGATTTCAGGCTGCCTGCAGACTCAGGAAAATTTCACTGCTTTGTTTTCCACTCAATTCATGTTTTTAAAGAGCTCTTAACATGATGTCTGGAACTCTGGAGAGTCTCTATCACCCTTGCTATTCTTTTCTGTGTTCTCTCAGTATTTCTCAGCTTTACAATTGTGCATCATACTCCATGTATCATACATGTGTCATCCGTGTGCTCTTTTTCTGCCTGTCAAGGCCGTCCCTACACATATACACAATATGCAGCTGCATGGAGCATCCAAAAATTGTGCAGGAGCCAAGCCGCTCTTACTTGCTGTCCTGGTGGGGCCCCAAATTACATCTCTAGATGAGGGCAGTTTCCAGGTTATCTCTGCCACCAGTTCTTCGTGGCCAGAGGCTGCCTAAGCTGGGCTCCCCACTCACTGGAGGCTGGAGCGGCTCAGACTTCCAGCTAGCTGTGGAGCTAGTGGCAGCCTCTATAGCAGCCAGGCATTGAACCTCCTCACTGCTGGACTCTCTCAGGGAAGGGCAGCAGGTTTGCAGAAATGTTGGTGGTGCCCAGAATGCACATCCTTTCTCAAATCCCCTCACCCCCGCCTGTCTAAAGCTCTGGGAGGCAGTTTGGGTGCTGGGTGCAGGCTGTGAGCTAGAGCCAGGAATTGAGGGGCAGGTTCTGGGATGGGTGCAGGCAGGGTGTGAGGTTCAGACTCTGGGAGGGAATTTGGGTGCAGGAGGAGTGGTGGCTTCAGGTTTGGGAGGGAGTTTGGGGATTGGGTGTATGGGTGCAGATTCTGGGAGGGAATGTGGATTCAGGTGGGTATCTGAGTTGCAGGCTCTGGGATGGAGTCTGGGTGCTGGCTCTGACTTGGGGCAGGGGGTGGGACCCTGCAGTTCAAAAGAGCTCGAGCCTCCCAGTTGCTGTCACTGCTGCAGCAGCATCAGTCAGCGCCCCAAGCCCTTTAAATCACCACTGGGATGCCGGGTGGTACTCAGGGCTGGGGGTGGGGAACAGAGAGTAGAGCAGCATGCTCCGGGTGGCACTGAGGGCTGGCACTTTCAGAACTGCAGCTCCTTGCCCCACACCTTTCCCAGGGGCCTGGAAAGTTTATGGTTCCTCTGGTCCCAGGACAGGAATATTCCTGGTTCTGAGGCACCATGGGCCATATAAGTCACCACCTATAGTGAGGTGCTATAGGGAAGGGAAAATAAGAGCACGGTGGGCCCCGGGCGGGGGGCAGTAACAAGTCACATGAAGGGCATGTAGGGGGTGGGTTTAGGTAGGGCCCCATCAATTCTAAGGACAGCCCTGCTGCCAGTGATACAAACCTCTGTTCTCTTTGCACGCTTACCTCCACCCAGACATTGAGAAGATGGGGTTTAAGCATCTATTCTCTATCAGTCCCCTGGCTTTTTTCTCGTCTGCATCTTCCCATCTTTTATTGCCTTGACACTCTCTCTAGGGCTACGCCTACACTGCGGTATCCCGAAATAGCTATTCCGCGTCTTAAGAGCAAAATATAACGGGCTTGCTATTCCGACGTCCCTGTAACCCTCGTTGCACAAGGGATAAGGGACATTTCAGAATAGCGCTTTCTTTCAAAATAAGATTGAAAGAAGCTATGCAATGAGGTAAGCGTGCTGTGTAGACGCACTCTTGCTGTTTGTCCAGTCTTCTCTTAATTGCTTTGCATTAAAGTACATGAGCATTCTCAGCCCCTTTTTTCCTACTTACCTTTTCCCTTGGGTATCTGGTTCTACAGGTATCAGCTGGCACTTAATTCTAGGTGCCTACCTGCCTATTCTTTTTCTCAGTTCTGTGTTCCATAGTATGAATAAGGTAAGTACCAAGGAGTGAATGTTGATCGTGACATGTCACTTACCTCCTATCTGATCTATAGCAGCCATTCAGCGCTCCTCTTCCCTGACAAAACCACGTGTGTGTTTATCTTGTGGTAGCTAATGCACATTAGGTATCCCACTACAAAACATACAGGAGACTGGGCACTTCCATTTTACTTAGCTAAACTAGGCCAGGTCAGCCATGGGTGAGGGGTTGACCTTACCTAGCTACCTCACAGTAAGAGCTACGGGTGCCTTGTCTCTGTTTATGCTTCACTGGAAGCCTTCACTGTTTAGCCAGTGATCTCTGGTTTCTGATAAGCCCCAAATTGATTAGGGTTGAATAGTCAACTCATTTCACCATTATACTTGTGCTCAGGAGCAGCTGGTGCCCCAGGTGGAACACACAATCGGCGCCCCTGCTTGCAGGGCCCTCAATGGACTGATGTCATCACCAGGCGCCCTGGGCACCCCGTGACATCATCATTGGGTGCCCAGTTGAAGGCGTGCCCTAGGTGGTGGCCGAGTCCACCTATAGTCACGGGCCGCCCCTGCTTGTGTTTGTTAACTTTACACAAAGTTTTGGCAGCACTAGTCTATTGAAACTGTGCTTGAAGCCCTATAGTACATTCTGTACATGACTCACCATCTACTCTCCGTTGCCATTTCCTTTAAGATTTTTATCAGTTTTGTTAACTCTGACCCCTCTTTCATAAATAGGTCTCTCGCTAGCCAGCCCAATTCTCTCCTGTTACCTTTCTGACCCTTCTAGTTTAGAGTTTTGGTCTTGGCTTGATTTCTAATTAACTTGGGAGAGTACCGAGGGATCCCTCATCTCCGTGGTAAATGCAGCTTTGTTTCAGACGGGGCTCAGAATAATTATTCATTTTCAGGATTGCTCAATGGCTAGATAAGAAAACACTCTTAACAAGTGCTCCTCTGTGGCAATTCCTTTTCTAATCAGAGCAATTAAAATTCTTCTCCAGTGGGAGTTTTTAAGAAATACCAGACCAGAGGTGTAGCGAGGGTACGATGTGCCCAGGGGCAAAGGCAAAATTTGCACACACACGCACACCCACTGCCATGAGGCAGGGCTTCCAACCTGGCGCACAGCTGTGCCCGACCCTGGGAGGAGAAGGGGGGAGCTTGTACCGCATCTTCCCCCACCCCCTACAGTTTGCAGCCAGACCCTCCCCCCTATGCACTAACCCACTGATGGAAATGGAGGAGGGTCAGGCTCGGGGTGGAGAGGCAGCTCCAGCTAGTGGCGACGGGTGGAGGAAGACCAGATGAGCCGAGAGATGACAGGGGGACTAAATTGGCACACACACACACCCCAGCATGGAGCCTGGGGCAAATATCCCCCCACCTTCCCTCACTACGCCACTGGACCAGACCAGACCAAAGGTGGAAGTAAGCGGGTGCACCCTGGTGCAAGAGCTGGCTGAGCTGCGGCAAAGGCAGCAGGAAGCTATTTGAAGAGGTGGCAGGGCCCCAGGTTGCAGCTGAACAGAGCCAGTAAGAAATGTTAAACTACTTTCACCGCTGACCCCCCAGACTGAGTTTTAGCTTGTGATCCAGGAGTACTTGAGCTCCAATTCTGGTTCTGTGGCTTTGGGTAAGTTCCTTAACATCTCTGTCTCAGTTTCTCCTTCGGCAACATGAGGGTAAAACTTATCCATACAGGCATGGGGGGGAAGGGAGAGGTTAACAATTAGTTGTTTGTAAAGTGCTTCGGATAAATCACGCTCATACTATTCGTCCTTTGCAAAACAGCCAGATTCCTTCTGACTTCATTGGCATTATGAGATGGTTTGTGGATGGAACTATGTTAAAGTGGTGGATTGCTCGTCAGCAGCTGCCCTTAGTCAGTGTGGTTTAGAGTAGGGATGTCAGTGTAACCAGTAATATTTTGTGTGGTTACACGACTGTTCAGTTACACTATATCTAACATCCCTAGGTTAGAACAGTGGTTCTCAACCTGTTTGGGCTTGGGACCCATATGTTTATGGCATGTTGCCACCCAGTAAATAGTCTGGGAGTTCAGGCCCTGGAGTGGTTTCAGCCAGGTCCTTTTCTCCCCCAACCCTGAAGGTCCTGCCCTGCACTCACCCTACCATGACAGCCCCTGTGCTGTGGGTCTCCCGCCAATTGGGCAGAAAAATTGTCCTAGGGCCTAGTGATTCAAAAGAGCACAGGACTCCCATCCGCTACTGCAGCAGCGATGGTGGCCGAGCCCTGGGCCCTTTAAATTGCCGCTGGAGCACCTCACTGCACATTCTGGGCAGCTCTGAGGGCTGAAAGGGGGGTGCTGGGCTCTGGGCAATGCTGAGGGCTGCCAGAAGTGGGCAGTGGCATGCTCTGGGTGGTGAGGAGGGCTAGTTTTGTTAGTCTCTAAGGTGCCACAGGATGACTCATTGTTTTTAAAGTTACAGACTAACACGGCTACCCCTCTGAGTCATGATACAAAGTTCTCCATCGCCCTTTTCTATACTCCCGTAGCTACCTACAATAACGCACTGTTTCCAGGTAGGAGAAATACAGGTTAAAGTGTATTTAACTTTAAAGGTGGGGAGAGGGATCCAGGAAATTAGAATAAGAGGTTGTCTCAAACTTTTTTTTAAGTGCTAAAAACATAGACAGAAGAAAATAGACAACATACCAGACTTCTTTGCATGCCGATTCATTGTGTTGTGCATCTGCCATATGATCTGGGTCAAGTAACTATTCCGTGCCTCAGTTTCCTCATCTGTAGATGCCCATGCAGTTTAGTTTACAGCTGAATCTTGACTTAGCATTTTATGTTTAAGGTTGTATTCATCTCTGGGATTAATTAACAGATATATTTGTAGCTTCTGGGTTTTGGATTTTTTTTTTTTTTTTTTTTTACTGAATTCACATTTAACACGGTACAGGTTGGACCTCCCTGCTCTGGCACTCTCGGGACCTGACTGGTCCTGGATGAGGGATTTTTGGTGTACCAGGGGAGGTCATTTCTGGACCTCCTGCTGCTGGCTTCACCCCCTGTCCTGCTGCCCC